TTCAGGTAATTCTTTGTGGTATATATATACATATGCATAAATATATCTCAACATCAAGAAAACAAAGATTCTCACCACTGGGATGATTGACAGCATCATAAAAAATGGTGAAGAGATTGAGATTCTTAATAGCTTCAATTTGCTTGGCTCTACAATCAACATTCTTGGTACCAGAAGCCATGAAATTAAAAGATAAACTGCAATGGGAAAGACTGCTGTCAGAGATCTCTTAAAAGTACTGAAGAGCAACGATGTCAGTCTGGAGACTACGGCGCACCTGATCCAAGGTGTAGTCTTCGCAATTGCTTGCTATGCATCAGAAAGCTAGACACTGACTAGAGACAATAGAAAGAGAACTGATGCCTTTGAGCTGTGATGCTGGAGAAGAGTGTTGAATGGCATGGACTGCTAGGAGAACAAACAGGTTTGTCCTGGAGAGGGTGAAGCAGGCCTGCTCCTTGGAGTCAAAGATTCTGAAGCTTTGTCTGACATATTTTTGGGATGTTGCAAGGAGGGACTAGTCCTTAGAGAGGGACATCATGTTTGGGATAGTGGAGGTACAGCCAGGAGAGGATGACTTTCAATGAGATGGATTGATTCAGTGATTGGGGTGGCAGGAGTAGGTGTGTTGGAGACTGAGGTTGGCACAGGATAGAGCAGAGTTTAGGGCTCTTGTACATAAGGCCGCTATGAGTCGCAAGCGACTCGACGGCACATAACAAACTATATATAAAACTCTTACTATGCCCATAGAAAAGGAGCTTCAGAGGCCTACTGGGTAAAGAGTTGCACTATTAACCCAAAGGCAAACAGTTCAAATTCACCAAGTGCTCCTCAGGAGAAAGTTGGGCAATCTCCTCCTGTGAAATTTACTGGCTCTGAAAACCTGCTTGAGGGTCAGTTATGAGTTCTGACTCTACAGAACTTAAGAACAAATCCATAGGCAGTTGTTCTGCTAACCTTCTGGTATAACAGCTGCTTACCAGGAGAAAGATGGGTAATCTCCTCCCATGTGCTTTACAGCCCCTAAAACAGAAGCTGGAGCACAGTTACTTGAGTTCTGACTCAAGTGCAAGGACAGTTGAATTGTTTGTTACTTTTCAAAGTGCAGTTCAGATTTCCTTGGAAGAATGAGAGACTGAGTACCCCAAAGTGATTCAACAGAATATATAAAGCCCATGATTTTGAAACATGAGTTTTATTTAAAGGTTGTTTCATTTTTATGCAATAATAGAATATTATTTTGTTTTAACACAAATTCATGTTATGGAGTAAAAAGAAATTACTTTTTTTTTAGAAAAGTGACACCAAAAAAATTGTCTATTTAATTCCTTTGGCTCATGATTAAGGGACACTTCATTCAGGAATTCACAATTCTGATGTGATACTTCAGCGAAAATCATTAAGAAGTAGTAAATAAAAAACTTAAATAGTAAGGGAATTTTGACTTTGTACCAAAAAAAAAAAAAAAGAAGAAAACTAGTATTAAGAAAGTGGGAATTATTATAGTTCATTTCAAAGAGCTTGAAAATTAGTTTGAGATAGCCTTACACAGTGACCGCAGCAATGGTGCAAGTATGTTAGAGATGTTGAGGATGGCACAAGATAGCACACGGTTCAAATCTGTTGTTCATAGGGTAACTATGAGTCCTACTAGGTGTCCTGGCACCTAACAACATCACTATAGCATTTTAGGTCTGAGGAGTGACTAATTATAGAACTATCAAAGTGAATAGATGTTTTGATATATTTATATCTGAGGTTGCACAAGGAAACCAACAGAAAGGCTGAAATTATTCAGTAGGCAGAGGTTATTGAGTATAAAAACAGATATTGCTACCTACATAAGGAAGACTATTATAGTAATTTATGTGTATATAGTGTAGCAAGCCTATAGTATACTCTCACCAGACCAAGAAGGATAAACCTCCTCCTTAGAGGACAGACTGGGAAGCAGTACCTTTGGCCCAAAATGGCACCACTTTGTATAGCATTCTATTCAAAGGCATCAGAAGCTTCTGCACACAGTTGGCTTTGTATATATTCAGCACCCCACACCATCTGTTCTCCCTGGAAGGGCTAGTTCCAAGAAGTAGTTTTAGAGTTAAACCAGTTTCAAGTACTCAGTCATGGGTGTCCTTGAAGCCTCCAGAATTGTTCTCAAGGTATGAAAAAGGCTAGTAGTTAAAATGAAGCAGAATAAACATTTTTTGAGAGGCAGTTAAATGTCTAGCTGTTCTACCCAGCTATCTTTTGAGTATATGAATCACATTCGCTCTATGTGTGATTTCTCTTACAGAAGACATTGCATTTCTTCCTAGAGGTGTAATGACCATTAATCAATGTATGCAATGTGAAACAATTTTGAGAAAGATCAAAATCAGTATGAGCTAAAATATGTATTGGCAATTCAGAACAGCAGAGAACAAAAGTTCTTTGCAGCAAAAGGATCAAAAGTGCTAAAAGGATTGCAATTGCATTTCAAATGAACTGAACATCTTACATCAGAGTATGCAGCTAACCCCTGCTTTTCAAATGGACCTATAATGGCCCTTATGAAACGAGGGAGGAACACTGAGGCTACAGACAGTTAAACGCTGGACTATGAATTGGAAGGTTAGCTGTCCGTCCCCACTCAGAGGAACCTCAGAAGACCTAGCACTTATTGTACTTCTTCAAAATTAGTCTCTGAAAACTGTATGCAGCACTGCTCTACTCAGTACCAGGGACCATCATCAGATGGGATCTACTGGAGGGCAACTAAACAATTACATAAACTAAGATTTACTCTATTGGAAATGCATGTTAAAGTGTCACAGCGCTCTCTTCAGTTTTGTCATTTCTTGTGGGCTCAACATTTTCAGCCACTCAGTTCCACGAGCTGCTCCACGGGAGAAAGATGGGCCTTTTCCTCCAGCGTGATTTACAGCCTCTGTAAAGTATCGGTCAATCGAAGGGCCAACCAACTACGAGTTGGTTGCATCTCGATGGCACAACCACCACAACAGTTCTTGTAGAAGCTGCTATTCCATTTCTAGCACCTGCTGCCACCTGGCAGGAAGTTGCGTTAAATTGAGCGAATATGGAGAAATTAGCCTCATTCCCGCCTTACTCCCAAGAGAGACTACTTAAAATATTAATGTCCCATATTCATACCAAAATCCAAATTCCTTGATATTCCATCCCACCTCCCGATTTCAGTGTGCATTTTATTCCTGTCAACACATGGCATAAACCCAAAACGCAAAGGAGAAAACAATTCAGTCACGCGAAAGTTAAACCAGTCTTGTCTCGATACCTCCTTCCTGCCTGGCACATATCTTAACCCTACAGATGCTAGCCGAGAGTTAGATCCAAGAACCACGTTAAAAGGAGATGCGTGCGGTACAGCATTACTTCCCGCAAATCCGAGCACAGGAAGCCAACCCGGACACACGGAAAAGAGGGCTTCCAGTGTCCCGCCCCGTTGCCCTCAGATCATCCTAACTCGTGGCTTCCTCGAATATGCCTGTTTAACCTCCCTTCCCTCCCCGCCCCCATTTACAATAAGAATAATATCCTCGTGTTCTTTTTTGCCTCTTCTTCTCTTAGAAAGTCTGCATCGGCTCCAAGCTGACACTCTCCACGGACGCAGGCGCTGACGAGACAGCCCCAGTTCCGTGACGCATAATCTGAGCGCCTCCCAGGAAGGACCCCGCCCCTCGTGCGCGACGTTTGGTTAGGTTTTCGCGGAGTTGAGTTGTCAGCTGAGCACGTGAGCGTTTGAATGGAGCTCGTCGCCGGGTGCTACGAACAGGTCCTTTTTGGTTTCTCTGTGCACAGAAAGCCCGAGACGAGTGGCGGCCTCGAGGTGAGACCAGGGGACTTAGGAAGGCGTTCGGTTAGGGTCTCATGGCAGCGGTAAACATCGGGGTAACTCATGCGCATGTCTGATGCTTAGGAATTAACTGATTAATCAAACTCTGAGAATTTAAGGAGTTAGCCCTTTAAAACATAAAACGTGCATTAAAAAAAAAAATCAAAATACTTCTTTGGTTGGCAGTGGATACAGTCCAGGAAAGAAGGTTGTGTTTTGATACAGGCGAAGAAGTCATAGAGGGTTAGTTTAAGGGTTTCATCTGCAAGTTGAGAACTGATTTAGATTATAAAAATTTAACGAAAAGAGCAATCCACTCATTCATTGGCCTTCTCCTGAAATATTACGGAGAGTTTTAACTGGGTCGAGGTAACTAATAAAGTGATAGCATTATTTTACTATTCATTGAGTAAGGCCTTCTGGTGGTCTGATTGGTAGGGATATTCATAGACTGTTCAAACTCACCAACTACTTCTCGGGAGATGGGCAGACTTCTTTTGGATTTAAAGCCTCTGAAAACCCACTGGTCAGCTGTGAATTGGTTCTGACTCTTAAGGAACATAACATTCAATGAACATTTACTGGGGGCTAGGCAGTGGAGATAAAAAGGGGAGAGAAAAAAAATCCAGAAACATCCTCTGTATACTCCATATAACGGTGAAGGACTGAGGAGACAATGGTTATTCTTTTACTAGATGTTTTAAAAGTTGTCCAGTAAGCAGTCTGTAGTCATACAGATAGAACGAAAATCAGATCCCTCAACTTCTAGGCCAGTATTAGTATTTCTCTTTAAATAATTCTAGGAAGATATTTGAAGCCCTTTCATTTAGTACTTCTTTATGAAGATGTCAGTCTGGAACTAACCAGAAAATTGGATGTCTATTCCTTAACTAATGGGTTTGTTGTTGTTGTTTTCTTTTTTGTAGTCTTTTGTAAATATGGCTTTGAACATTGGCCATGGGTGGCATGGTTGAATATTTGAAGATAATGCTATTATAGTATGCTGTAGAGTCAGAGCCACCTGTAACTGACCCTCTAATGGGTTTTCAGAGGCTGTAAATCACAGAGGAAATTGACTTGGCTTCAGCAAAGCAGCTGGTGGGTTCAAATTTTTGGGCTTTGGGTTAACAGTCCAATTCCTTAATACTACACCACCAGAGCTCCTTCATATTTGTAATATAGATGCTTATGATCCATTCACAGTAATCCTCACAATAACCCTCTAAGTCAAATACCTTTATCCCCACATTCCTGATGGAAAAGGTGAGGTTTAGGTAATATCGACTCAAGGCCAGCCAGCTGACATTTTGGCAGGTCCACAGGAATCGTTTACTCTTGACACTTTGACATACTTTCTCTGTTGTTACCATATGCCTGGAATCCATTTTATCCCTGTAGGACAGAGTATAACTGCTCTCTGGGGCTTCCAAGGGTATAATGAATGTCTAAGGAAATAAACTGCTACATTTGTTTCTAGAGCTGATGAGTTCAAACTGCTAACCTTTTGGTTAGCACCTGAACGCTTAATGATGCCTTTGAGCTGTTTTGCGGAGAAGAGTATTGCGAATACCATAGACTGCTAGGAAAACAAACAGATTTGTCCTGGAAAGGGTTAAACCGGGTGGCTCCTTGGAGGCAAGGATTCTGAGGCTCCGTCTAACATACTTTGGACATGTTGTGAGGAGAGACTGGTCCTTGGAGAAGGATATCATGCTTGCGAGGGTGGAGGGACGGCGCAGGAGGGGAAGGCCCTATATGAGGTGGATTGATTCAGTGACTGGGATAATTGGGATGGGAGTGTCAGAGACAGTGCGATTGGCACAGAACAGAGCAGAGTTTAGGGCTGTTGTACATAGGGTCGCTATGAGTAGCAAGCAACTCGACTGCACATAACAACAACAAAGGTACCTTCTTTAGCCAGTATTGCTTAGTCTAGACAGGCAGTTAGTTGCCTAGATGATCAACACTGCTTTCATTTCATGTATGTTGTTGTTGTTGTTAGGTGCCATCAAGTATGACTCATATTAACCCTGTGATCAAAAGATCTGAACCCTGTTCTATCCTGTGCCATCTACATACTCCCTGACACACAGGATCCCGTTGTAGTCTCCTTGTTAGTCCACCTGGTTGAGGGTCTCCTTGTTAGTCCACCTGGTTGAGGGTCTTCCTCCTTCAGTAACCCTCCATCCTTCCCAGCATCATGTCCTTCTCCAAGAAATAGCCCCTCCTGCAACATGCCCAAAGTATGTGCGGCGAAGCCTCATCATTCTTCCCTCAAAGAGTACTCCAGCTATACCTTCTCCATGACATACTGTTTGTTCACTTGGCCGTGCATGGGATGTTCAGTACTTTTCTCCACCACCACAGCTCTAAAGGATCAATTCTTCTTCAGTCAGTCATTGTCTCTCAAACACAAGTAACAGTTAATTCTTTGATTTAAAAACCCCTCAAAGCAGTTCCTTTATTCAAAATTATAGAGGAACTGTTAATGTTATTTAGGAATTAGTTTGTAGTAAGCACACTTACATAATATTTTCTGTATATTAAATAAATACAGAATATCTCTTGTATATTCAGAGAAGTTTGTTAGCTTTTGTGTTTTTTGACTGATACTTCTTGACATGTCCCTCTTAATATAAAGTGTGTGTATGTATTCTGAATCATGCTATAAAGTCCAAAAATTATATGACAGCCTACTGCTCCTGAGACCTAAACTTTGCTTTTTTATCTAGGGTTGATATTGGTACTAATGGGATTATATTTTTGTTTCTTTTTCTTTATAGCCTTGTACTATATTTTGTTTATTGTTTATCTAATAGAATAAAAACACCAGTAAAACAGGAGCTTTGATCTTTTGGTCACTGTTGTACCTCAGCTGCTTTAAGATATTGCCAAGCACAAAGTAAAACCAAAATGCCAAACCCATTGCTGTCAAGGCAGTTCTAGCCCAGCAACTCTGCGCACTCAGTATTAGAATGAATAAAGTCAGGTCAAAATCTGAATATTGAAATAAAGTAATAAGGAAGTCTCAAATATAAGGAAATATATAAGAAGTTAAAGACTTGATGAGATCTTAAAAGGCCTGATATTCTCTACAGCTGTTTTGTAGAAACAGCTGGAGTCGTCTCACCCTCAGCGTGCCTGCTTTACTCCATTTTCAGGTGATTTTTAAACAAATACCTGTGCACTATTTTGTCTGAGTCAGAATTGATGTGACAGCACCTAACAACAACATATGTCTGGTTTCTTTCCCATTGGTAGACTTCACTGTTAGTTTTCTTATCTCCTGGAACTCTTTGCTTCTTGAGCACCAAGGTATGACTGTGACATTGATGGTAAGTTTCCTCTTCCGCAGAAATGGACTGCTGTGGCTGACTTCACTCACCATGCCCACACTGCCTCCGTGTCAGCAGTGGCCGTAAACAGTCGTTTTGTTGTCACTGGAAGTAAAGATGAAATGATTCACATTTATGACATGAAGAAGAAGATAGAGCATGGGGCCCTAGTACATCACAGTGGTAAGATAATTGGTATTGTTTAAGATAAAGTGGAGATGTTACTCTTTATTTGCTTTCAGTTAAACAGTTTACTATGTTGCAGTTTCTGTGCTAGGGAATACAAAAAATGAAAAGACTGGGTTACTTGTAGTTGCTTACAGGCTGCATTTAATTTCTGAAGGGAGGCCCTCTTTTTCCTTGTGGGATTGTGCAGTGGATGTCTCACTGACAGGTTCCTTAAAAATGACATCTATATTTAATCTTAAAAGTTGTTGACCAGTTGAAGTTTACAAGGCTAAGAAAGGGCAGAGTAGGCGCCGTAAGGAGAGCAAATAACAGCATCATAGAAATAGCTAACTTTACTGTGGATGCCAGTGGACCCAAAATGCCTTTGTGGCAAAGAAATTAAACATTCAGCTACTCGCTGAAGGATCAGTAGTTTGAACCCACCATGTGCTCGGAGTAGAAAGTTCAGACAATCTGATACCATAAAGATTACAGCTTGGAAAACCTGTGGAATAGTTCTGCTCTGCCCTAGAGAGTCACTCATGCAAGAATCAACTTGACAGTAGTGGGTTTAATTATCATGGGCCCAGCACTGGACTAGGATCATACAGTTAAATCTTTAGGTACAGAAAAGAAAACCTAGATTCAAAAGGTGATAAAGCTAGAGGGCTCTGGTGGCCTAGTGGCAAGAAGCTGCACTGCAATCCCAAAGGTGCACAGTTCAAATCCACCAGATCCTCCGCTGGAGAAGGAGGGGCAAGCCTCCATTGCCAGTAAGATCCCGATTTGAAGGTACACAACAAGAAAGAAAGAAAAAATAAAAAAGGTGGTAAAGCCCTGAAGCTAAAAACTAGACCTTGAACTTCAATCTGGAATCCATATTTTTAACCCCCCTAGGTTCTTAGGGAAATAAGCAATTCATTATTACAATGTTTGGAGTGCTTGGAGAAGTAGAAAGGGCTAGGTCACAGAGGTCTTGGGGGGGGTGCAGGTTGGGGATTAAATGAAGAAGCAGGGTGTATTACAGGTCTGATAGGTGTACTGACAGTTTTCATATAAATAGGTGCCAAAGGAGAACACTGAAGGACTTAATTGCTCAATTGGGTAAATGACTGCCCATTTGAAAAGGATGACTGTTAATTGAAATTAGAGGTTTTGGATCAAGAAAAATAATTTTGTAGGATATTTTTAATTTCTTCTGCAGCAAGCCACAGACATTTTAATAGGGTGAGGAAGTTACATAGTGTGTACAATAGAAAAACTGAGTTACAGGGGATTAAGGCCCCTTTTTTTTAGAGAACAGGAATATTTCAGAGAGAGTGTAAATCCTAGTCCAGACCATAGCAGAAAAGGGAATATTGAAATAAAGCAGGTTGCGAATTGTTCGGATTCCTCATGCAAGTAAAAGTTATGCTGTGGTTTATTAAATGTACAGGAGCATTATGGAGAAGTTTGAAATAGTGTGAGAATTGTAAAAATGTGACTGAGAAACACAGCAGATAAAATTGGAAAAAGGTGCTAATAGACTTGCTCGTCCTAGGTTTGCCCCACATTTTCAGTATGCTTTAGTTCTTTTAAAAAAAAGTACTATCTACAAAGCCAAATGAAATGATATGTGCACATACAATACTTTCTTTGCCCTTAGTATTAGTTTCTCCTCATTTAAAAAGTTGCTTACATCAGCGCATTTTTCACCTTTCAGTGAGGTGGTTTCTGTTTGTGACAGTTACATTATTTTATCACAATCTTGACCCTTTTAAGTAAAATTTTTAATTTTGATCATATAAATATTCTGATTATATAAAACTGATTTAAAAAATTATTATATAAATAATGCACCGAGGCACATGATTTCTGCTGTGAAGTCCTATGGAATTTAGTTTTGTTTTTGACATTCTATTTATTAGTTGTTAAAAATGTGCATCACAAAACATACACTAGTGTAGTAGTTATTACATGCACACTTGACATTGACTGCATTCTTTGAGCTATGTAGCTATGCTCACCTTTTCTTCTGGAGATGTTCTCCCTCATTAACATAAACTCACTCTCATGTTGTCCATACTAAGCTTGTAAAAGATAACAGTTTTCCCATATCCTTACCAATAATTGTTGGTTTTTGGAGGTGATTTTATTTTCAGTTTTGCCATCTTTATTGTTGTTAAGTGCCATTGAGTTCACTGAAGCTCATAGTGACCCTTTGAACAACAGATCTGAATATCTTGCGCCATCCTCAGTCTCCAGTATGCTCAAGCCCACTGTTAACAGTCACTGTGGCAGTGCCTCTTGCTGAAGGTCTTCTCTTTCTTTGACCCTCTGACTTTCCTACCATGTTGTCTTAAGATTGGCTTCCTGCAAAAACATGCGCAAAGGATGTGAGTGAAAGTTTGACCATCCCTGCCACTAAGGAAGACCCCAGTAGCACTTCCTCCAAAACATGCTTGTTTGTTCTTTTGGTAATTGTGTTAGAAGAGTTCCCAAGTCAAATTCTTTTCTCATCCTTACTCATTTTCTAACATTTAGATACATGCAAAAATATGGCTTGGATCAAGTACTCCTTAGTCTTTAAACTGACATCCTTGAGATCGTTGACATTGTATTTTCCCTATGCAGCATGTCTTTTGGTTTCTTGACTGTTGTTACCATGTAAGCATGTTACCACTGCTGGATCCAAATTAAGATGAAATTTTTTACAACTTCCGTCTTTTCTCTATCATGATGTTGCCTGTTGGCCAAGTGGTAAGGATTTCTGTTTTCATGTTAAAGGCAATAGCCTTTGATCTGCAGTAAATACTTGAAGTCTTTTACAGTTTCTGTATGCAAGCTTGTGTCATCTGTATGATACACATTGTTAGTGAGCCATCTTCTAATCCTGATGCCATGTTCTTTTTTTTAAAAAAATTTATTTTGTATGTGTGTGTGTACTGTCAAATAGGATCTGAACGGTACAGGAGGAGATTGTTCCTCTTTCTCCCACAGAGCATCTGGTGGATTCGAACCACATGCTTCTGGGATTTCAGTGCCGCTTCCTGCCAGCTATGTTCTTCTTTATATAGTCCAGCTTCTCAAATAATTTGCTTACCTTACAGATTAAGTAGATATGGAGAAAGGATACAGCATTATCACACACGTTTCCTAAGTTTAAATTGTGCCGTATTCTCTTGTTCTGCTTGGACAACTGCATCTTGGTTTATGTATAGGTTTTGTCTGGGCACAATTAAATAAAGTGTTTTGGGATTTCCAATCTTCTTAGTGTTACCTAATTACTAGCAAGAAGTTTCTTATTAATGTACTAAGAAGACCTACTTGCTAGTGAGATTAATGACAGTGTTCAGTAATTTCACTTTTCCCCCAGTAAGAACAAATATGGATCCTTTCTAGTCAATTGGCCAAGTAGCTGCCTTCACATTTCCTCAGTAGAGGGTAGTAAACATGTCCAGGTCTGCATTTATTTATTAAAACATGTCAGTTGTTACTCTGTCGCATCCTTGGGCCTTATATTTTTTGCCAGTGCTTTCAATGCAGCTTGAACTTCTTTATTACCTTTGGTTCTTATATGCTGCTTCCTGAAATGGTTCATTGTTGACAGAATCCTTTTGGTACAATGGCTTTGTGTAATCCTTCCAACTCCTTTGAGGCTTGCTGTGTCATTCAGTATTTTGGCTATGTTGTTAGATGCTGTCAAGTATGCCTCATAGGGACCCTATGAACAGTAGATCCGAACCTTGTCTTACTGCCATTAATTGAGACATATTACAGCGTTCACTGTGTCAGTCCATTTTGTTGGAGTTCTTCCTCTCTCTCACTGACTTTTCCAAGGATGATGTCCCTCCCCAAGGTATAGCCTCCCCTAACAACATGCCCAAAGTATATGAGATGAAGATTTGTCATCTTTGCCTCCAAACAGCTGTACTTTTCTTTGGCTGTACTCTAGCTTTACTTTTCCCAAGACATACCTGTTTGTTCTTTTGGCTGTCCATGTCCATGATACTCAGTACTTATCCCCAGCACAAGTCTTATTCATTGCCTGAATCAGGTGCACCTTAGTCCTCAAGCTGACGTCACTGCTCTTTGGTTATTTTGAAGGTCCCTGACAAGTAGACTTGCCTAATGCAATCTCTTGACCTTTTGACTGCTGGTACCAAGATTGTTGATCTAAGTAAGATTAAATCATTGACAGTTTCAATCCTTTTCCTGTCATGATGTTGTTGATGAGGATTTTTGTTTTTTTGATGTTGAAATGAAATCCATATTGAAGGCTGTAGTCTTTAATCTTCTGTAGCAAGCATTTCGAGTCCTCCTTACTTTGAGCCAGCAAGGTTGTGTGATGTCCGTAATGCAAATTGTTGATGAGTTCTCTGCAATTTATCATTCCTGGCAGAATAGATCATATGATTGCCAGATTGAGAATTGCCAACACCAGTCCATCTTAGCTCACGGATGCCTAGGATATTGATATTTATGCATTCCATTTCATTTCTGACAACTGACAATTTTTCTTGATTCATGCTTGATACATGGGCAATCTCCTGTGCAACTTACAGTCTTGGGAAGTGGGCTCTAAGTCAATTCCTACTCAGTAGCAATGAATTTGAGTATTTTTAATACACTTAATGGTGTTTTCATTGGATTTTCCCAAAGGAAGGAGAATGCAGTCCTTAACTTGTGCTGAAGAGGAAGAAAAAGAAAGGAAAGAACTCAACATTACAGAATCAGATTTGGGGGACTAGCTATAGGGTTTGATTCCTGCAATGGCAATCAGAGAAGATAGGTACCACCTTAGACATTCCATACGACATGTTGGTTTCTAGTAGTTGGAGTGATAGCACTCTTTTTTCTTACATAGTTGTTAGCTTCCCAGATAAATATCATGCTATCTGAAACTAGGCTTTGCATGATTTCAACATCTATTTCTCTTTTCTTTTCAGTCTCCCAATTCCAGTTCATCCAAAGAAGGTTTCATGTTTTTGTTAGGCTTGTATGAAGTAAGATGAATCTGTGTCCATCCCATTAGTACCAAGTGTCCAACAAGATAAGATTGATTAACTAAAAGGGATTTTCTCAGGTAGCGAATAAAGGAGGTAGAGCTACTGTTTTATTCTGTCCCCTGTATAAGGTTCTGTTTTTTTGATAATTGATAAGCTCTTCCCTGTAGAGTCAACTGTCATGAGTAGAAGTAGCATAAGATATAGGAAAGCATAATTTCCGCAGTACAAAACAGGCTGACAGTAGAAAGCACAGGGAGAGATTTCTGAGCTTTACACTGTGAGAAGCACACAGTGGCGCCCTGCCACAGCCCACTTATTTTCAGTGCGTCCGTCAAAAGCAAATTTATTTATTAGATGCTTTAGCTTCTCCAGTAGAAAGGATGTAAAATGGACTATATCAGTCAAAGGGGGAAAAACTCATTTTGTGAAGGACAGAATTGTGAATATTTAATTATTTCTCTGACAATTACTAGGGATGACAGAAGTAGAATAGATGCCTTTGAGCTGTGGTGCTGGAGAATAGTATTGAATATACCATGGACTGCTAGGAGAACAGATTTGTCCTAGAGAGGGTGTGACCGGGCTGCTCCTTGGAGGCAAGGATTCTGAAGTTTCATCTGACATACTTTGGGCATGTTGCAAGGAGGGCCTAGTCCTTGGAGAGGGACAGTGCAAGAGAGGAAGACTGAATGAGATGGATTGATTCAGTGACTGGGGTAAACAGTATAGGTGTTTCAGAGATAATAAGGTTGACACAGGATAGAGCAAGGTTCAGAGCTAATGTGCATAGGGTCACTATGAGTCGCAAGGTACTTGATGGCACAGAACAGCAACTGTCATAACTGCTCAGCTCTGCAGTTTAGTGCAGAACCAACTCAAGATGATAGCAGAACCCTGAGCTACAGCATTGTAAGCTGACAGGCGCGAAGTCAAAAGGAAGAAGGAATTTTTACTTGCAGTTAAGTATGTGGTGACGTGTGTCTGCTTTCATGGACTAGAAGAATGCTGTCTTATTCTGCCGCCTTACCTCCTCCTCTCCCAGTGTCCCGAGCTGTGGAGGAAATTCCAGATTTAGGCAGAGTATTTTGTGAAGATCTTGGAAGTACAGTCAAGTTTTTCATGTAATGGAGATTCCAGAGGACATTAATTGCTGTTCGTACATGCCATTGAGTCAGCTACAACTTACAGTGATCCTGTGAGCAATAGCTCTGAACTCTCCCGATCCTGAGCCGATCTCACCATCTTGGACACACCTTCCTGCAGTCACTGTCAGTCCATCTCATCTAGGGTCATCATCTCCTGAGCTATCCCTCCACCCTTCCAAGCATGAGGTCCTCCAAGGACTGGGTCCCTCGTGACAACATGCCCCAAGTATATTAAACAGAGTTTCATAATCCTAAATCGTTGCCTCCAGGGAGCAACCTGGTATTAACCTCTCCAAGACAGACTTGTTTATTTTCTTGGCAGTTCTTAGTTGACACATTAGTTGAGTAACATTTTATAAAATTGTTCTAACAGAGTAGATGAGAAGTATATGGAAGTTGAATCAGTTCATTTTCTGGAATTTTTATTTCAAGAAAAAGAATTGGATTCTGAGTGATTAAGTACCCATCTCATCTCACTGTTTGAAGTGTAAAAGCCATATGGTTCTACATCTAGATTTGTTCTCTAGAGTAGCTGGTTAGTTTTGTTTGAGTCTGGTTAGATTGCTAGCTAGCCGTCTCCTAAATGTGCGATTATAAGACATAAGGCAAGAAAGTGTGGGCTGATTAGTTCAAACTAGACTACAACTGGATGAGAAATATTTGCAGAGGCTTACAACTGTTTTTATATGTAAAAAAAGTTCCATTTCAGTAATAGAAAATTATTTTACTTATTACTTGTTAGCCTTGACTAATAATAGAATTTGTGTTCAAAATGAATATTAATTACCTGTCTTGGTTTTTTCATAGGCACAATAACTTGTCTGAAATTCTATGGCAACAAGCATTTACTCAGTGGAGCTGAAGATGGCCTAATCTGTGTCTGGGACACAAAGAAATGGGAATGCCTGAAGTCTATTAAAGCACACAAGTGAGTCTGGCTGTCCTCATTGGTCTTCTCGATGTTCTGGTGAAGTTGTCAGCTAACTGTTGGTTTTATTTTAGAGGACAAGTGACCTTCCTCTCTATTCATCCATCTGGCAAGTTGGCCCTGTCAGTTGGTACAGATAAAACATTAAGGTAAGTCATACCCAAGAGCACTTTTGTTAAGCTTTTGTATTTGTTCTTTAAGTGAATAAAAGACACTTCCACCAGAGTGTCTGTTATGATAATAATTAGGCACTGTATTTGTGTTTTTCCATTGTTCTTAACCACTTAGGATTGTGATACAGAGAGAGGTTGAAATCTCTTCATGATGGTATAATACAAATGGCATGCTCTACATTTGACTTGCACTGTGCACTCAGTCATTGTGAAAAAGAGGTTGGTCATAAAAAGGAAACAATTTAGGAGGTGAAATTCTTTGCAAAACATGAGAGTGACATTTCTTCTTTATAATTAACCTTTTAGATGTTACTTTAAGGAAAGAACACACATATAAGTAGCTATATGTTTAGTAAAACTCATTTCTTCCTTGTTTCTTGAAGTATTCATTGTTTTATTAGTCTCTTCACACATAGTTGTTGTATTATTGTTGTGTACCATCAAGTTAGAACCAACTCAGTTATGCATCAGCAGGTTTTCAGAGGTTGTAAATCATAGGGGGAAAGATTGCCCATCTCTTCCCATGGAACAGCTGGTGGGTTCGAGGTGCCTGCCTTTGGAGGGGTAGAGCACCTCCTTAACCACTAATAGTATTGATTGATGATCATGGAGTAAGTCTGTTTCCTCTTTTGTAGAACATGGAATCTTGTGGATGGAAGGTCAGCATTCATAAAAAATATAAAACAAAGTGAGTATTTGTTGTTTTAAATGTATTTTCTAATAATGGAATATGATCGTACACTTATTTTTGTGTGAATATGCATGTATACATTTCTTACATAATGGTGAATGCTGGTTACCTTTGAGAGCAAAGGCTTTATCTTATTTTCACAGTTGAGATCACTGCCATCGGTTAGCTCTGTGACCTTGGATAATTGTTTGAAAAATGTTTATTGTGCACTATATTGAGTTACGTTATTTAACTCACAAAATGTGCCATAAATTTGTTGTGAAGATAAAGTAGTACACATTATTTATATGTGAAATAAAAATATTCACTGTTTTTTTTTATTACTGTGTAATGTCATTACAGAACACACAAAAAAAATGCTTGCTGTCTTTCTTTTCTTTTTTGAATTTCTAGGTGCTCAAATAGTTGAATGGTCTCCAAATGGTGAAAAATACATAGTAGTCACAGTGAATAAAATAGACATCTACCAACTGGACACTGCGTCTATTAGTGGTGCCATCACGAATCAGAGAAGAATCTCGTCTGTTACATTTCTTTCTGTAAGTGATCAGTGGTGAAAGTTTATTGTGTATTGTGCTGGTCACAACTGTCAGTGACATTCTGGGCCACCTTTTCTCTGTCCTAGGAGTCTGTCCTTGGAGTAGCAGGAGATGAAGAAGTCATACGGTTTTTTGACTGTGATTCACTAATATGCCTCTGTGAATTTAAAGCTCATGAAAACAGGTATTTTAATTGGTCTGTATGTAAGTATAAAAGAACTGTTGGCGTGGTTGGTAGATCCTTTCTCCTGTCTTGGTCATTTCGTGCTACTAAAATAGAAAATACCCAGTTGGGTAGATTTAACTCAAATGTAGCTTCTCACTATTGAAGAGATTAAAAGCCTGAATTCAGGGGAGCTCTGGTGGCCTAGTGGCAAGAAGCTGTACTGCAACCCCAGAGGTACACGGTTCAAATCCACCAGATGCTCTGCCAGAGACGGAGGGACAATTTTCTCCTGTACCTGTCAGATCTGATTTGATGGTACATGCACAAAAAATAACAATAAAAAATTAAAAATTTGAAAAAGGAAAAAAAAACCTGAATTCAGGGTGCTACCGTCAGGAGACTCCTTTCTATCTCTGCCTGCACTCTGGAATAAGATCTTTTTCTTTATTATGTTAATGAGGGAGGATTATTGTGAACTGTGTCGTAGGTCATTCTCTTTTGAAATATGAAAGAACAGACCAAATAAGGGTATTGGAGGACAAGGTGCAGGCCTTGTACCATTACTAAGGAACTTAGAAGTAAAAGGAGAAAGAGACAAGGATCTTTCTCTCTTTGAAGAAGGGCATCACTACCAGTTTTGGGGTTGTGTTGAGCCATTGTTTTTGATAGAATTGTCATTTCCATAATATTGAGTGAATATAACATGAATTTGGAATATTTTTTTTTATTTATCCAAGTTTCCTTTTGGTTCTTGTAGTAGTGCTTTGTAATTTTTTTTATGAGTATTTTCTGTACTATTTTCTCTGGTGGCCTAGTGGTAAGAAACTGTGCTGCAATCCCAAAGCTATGTGGTTTGAATCCTACCAGTAGCCCTCAGGGGAAGGATGGGCAGTCTCTTCCTGTGCAGTTAATTTGTATCTAAAAACTCACTGGAACTGTACATTTTTAATTCCTTTTTATCCAGACTCATTGTAAATAAATGCGTTTTTTAGGTTTTGTTTTGTTTTAAAAAAACAAACCCCAGATGAGAGTCAGCGGTGAGTTGGTTACCACTCAGTGGCACACAGCAACACAGTGCTTACTGTTTCTGAGGAGCAGTGTCAGTAAGGCTGGTTAAAGAACTTGGCCAGTGTTACTCTACTCTTAGGTCATGACACTGGGATCTAAACCAAATACTGCCTAACTTGATCTCTTTTTCTTTCCTTGTCATTTTTAAAAAGCTGATAATGCTGTTAGAGCTTAATGTACGTCATTTACATATTCTTTTGTATCTCAGATTATGTTTTAAATTATAGTTGTTTATGGTACTGCAGTCAGAATAGAGGTCCTGATTCTTAAATACTGTAAGCAAGCACATAGTTGAGCCATTTAAAATGTGAAGACATGTACTACGCTTTTACCATTCACTCATTGACACAGTTTTTCTGGAGCATCCATTGTGAAGTGCCGTGCTGGGTTCTGCTTTTTCATGGTTTTTACATTATAGTAAAGATGATCATTGGAAATAAATCTGATCATCACAAGGAACTACAAAGATGTGAAAGGATGATATAGACTGCAGCTGTGTCAAATTCAGTACTCGCCCCATCCATGGCGGGCACTGGCCCAAAAGGCTGCCAAAGAGACCCTGTAACTCATAGGCCCTGCTCCTCTCTCTTGAGCCTCAGGGATAAATTTTGTTACAGACATCATACTTCTAGATCTCCAGAGTAGGACAGGGTAGACTGAGAAGCCTGTGCCTCACCAGGTGATAAAATGCTGCAGCTGTTGGTATTGTCGCCATGTACTTTCAAGTGGGATCTGACTAATAGTGGGCCCTGTAGCAAGTTTTCAGAGGCTGTAAATATCATGGGAGGAGATGATTGTCTTTCTCCTGCAGATGTGCTGGTGGAATCAAACTGTGTACCTTCGGGTTCATAGTACAACTCCTTACCATTAAGCCACTTGTTGTATATCATAGAGTCAGAACTGACCCTTAGCTGACCCTCCAGCTGGTTTCCAGAGCCAGTAAGTAGCACAGGAGATTTCCCATCTTCTCCCTCAGAGGACCTAGTGGCCTTGAACCACGTTCCTTCAGGATTGCAGTGCAACTTCTTGACATGAGGCCACCTACAGCACCCTAAAAGTAAAAATAAATAATTTTTTTTTTAAACAAACACTGTTTGTTTTAACTGTTGTGGTTATGTGTGATTGAGTTACAGTTGACTCGTAACTGACCTTCTAGTGGGTTTTCAGAGGCTGTAAATCACACAGAAGGAGATAGCCCATTCTTAATGAGGATTCAGACTGCCTGCTTTTAAGTTGGTAGCACAGCTCCTTCCCCACTAGGTTACGAAAGCTCCCTTTAGAATAAGTAATAAAGAGGATAATTTATTTAGGTAGCATGGTCCAGGAAGGAGGCAGGAGACTAAGAAAAGAGCCACAAGACGACCCCAGGCAGCCAGGAGACAGCGCAGGGGAGAGGTCACAGGTGCGCTAGGAGCTGACATTTTCTGTGTGAGATACATTTTTAATTTTGGACTTTTTTTCTTTTGCTCATTTCTCACTATGGAAAAATGCAAAAGCAGGCAAGCGAGCCTCATATACCTTACTACCTACTTTCAGAAATTTTTACCCAGTCTTTTTTCCCTTCTATGCCCCAGCCACTTTTCTCATACATGCTTTTAATGCAGATCCCAACTTTGTTGCATTCTAAGTCTGGAGTTTCCTAATTTGTCATACATTTTTTGAAGATTGTTACAAGGCACACCTGAAAGTAGAAGAGGGTCAGTTAGTCCACCTCCATAGTCCTGAAGGAGGAAGAGAGTAGCTTAGATGGGGCACTGGCGCCGTAGAGGAGAAACATGGATGCCGAGGGAAGGGCCGGGACGCCTCACTATTGGCACAGTTCTCCCCCTACTGATCTTCTAGGGGTGAGGAACTTTGTTGACTTATTCTTATATCCTTTGTGATCCCGATTGTTTATTTCCATTGTTATCCCTAGGACCATCCTCTTTATTTACAGTTACTATCTCAAAGCACACTCTATTTGTTGGTTTATGGTTGGGACTCACTTGCATAGGCATCACCAGAGCCAGCAGTGATGGATAGAAAACAACTGGCACAAGGAAACCCCACTCTGGGGGCAAACCGAGTGTTTTCTTTAGGTGTCCTTTCTCGGTGGCCACACAGATGCCCTGATTGTCCCATCCGTGAGTTGTGACAACAAAAGCCAGATGCTATCCCATGGGGAAGCACACTAGTGACTCAGCATCCAGAATTTTTCTGAAGTCTGCTCACTTAAACACATAACAGAATTTCAGGCTCCCTGAAAGAAAGTGGGTGCTGAGTATAAACCACACTGTGCAGTGAGCTTGGGCACAGTGAGCCTTTTATATCAGGTTCCCAGACACCAGCCATTGACCACTGACCATCCTTCTGAGCAGATCAGTTAAGCATAGCAGTGCAGTTAAGCCTCCTCTATTCACTTTTTTTTAAAAAAAAATTATTTTGTGTGTGTGTACCGTCAAATCGGGTCTGACTGGTATAGGAGGAGATTCTCCCTCCTTTAGCAGAGCATCTGGTGGATTCGAACCGCGCTCCTGTGGGATTACAGTGCAGCTTCTTGTCACTAGGCCATCAGAGCTCACCTCACACTTTTTTTTTTTTACATTGTCATTGTAACTTTTTCTTAAGAGATGGTTGCTTTTTTTTTTTTTAAGTTTAAAATTAATGTCATGCCCACTGCCATCAGGTTGATTCTACCTGAGAGAGAGAGTAGAAAAACCTTAGGATTTCCAACTGCCACATCTTTCACGGACCACATGGTGGGTTTGAAACACTGACCTACTGATGAATGACCAAACACTTAGCCATTTCACCAGAAGTGCTCCTTCCTGAATTTCAAACCTAGATAAAAATGACCACCTGATTCAGTGATAAGGCAAAGATTGAAACTGTTTGCCAACTGTAGTAGGAATGTGAAGCATTTAGAGTTTCGGGCATTAGTAGAGTGCCTGAATCACTTCCTGTAGGGAAGAAAAGAGCTTTATGTTAATACTTCTGTCCTAGGGTGAAAGACATACTCGCTTTTGAAATTCCGGAGCATCACGTCATTGTTAGTGCGTCAAATGATGGTTTCCTCAAGATGTGGAAGCTTCACCAGGATAAGGTCAGTATTTTAGCACAATGTAAGTGCATTTTAATACAAGTCTCACTGTGAATGCTATTTTGGGTTGAATAAGGTGGAAATAAGCTTTTTCAATCTCTCAGGATAGAGATCTCTGGTGGCCTAGTAGTGATGAGCTGGGCTGCCATCTCCGAAGCACACAGTTTAAGTCTGACAGCTACTCCGCAGGAGAAAGATAGGCAGTCTCCACCTGTACAGTTTATGGCCTCTGCAAACCTGCTGGGGGTTCAGCTCTGAGTTGGTTCCGACTCAGCAGTGCACACCAGCAGCAGCAACAACCTCCCAGGTGTGATTGGTGCTTGGTTTTGCAGTGAAGGTGCCACAGTGTGTGACTTGTGAGTCTGAGCTGGCAGAGGCCACATTTCTTTTGCCACTTAGTCATAGAGGTGCTGCTTCCATCCTTGTTGCCTCCTCAGATTCTTTCTTCATAAGGTTTTGTAGGAAAAAAATACTCCAGTTACTTAAAGAAATTCGAGACCATTAATCTGCTTTGGAGTTAATAATAGTTTTGAGCTAGGTAATTAGAAATTTCTTTCCCCTCTAAAATCTCCTTGCAGTAGTGGATATCTCTTGATTTATTCTTCATTTCTTCTAATCACACATTTTGTCAGCATGGTTAGGGGCTTGCTTCGTGCAGGGAGGGTACTCTCTTAAGCCCTAGAAATGAACAAGTTGTGGTCCCTGTCTTGGGTAAATTTGAAATTTCCATGTGCTGCTTAGGTCTTGGGGGCACTCTGGTGGTGGTGGTCCATGGTGAGTTGCACTGCTAAGCCAGAGGCTGTGTGTGCAGTGGTTCAAATCCACCTAATACTCCTTGGGAGGGAAATGGTCAGTGTCTGCTTGCTCTGATTTACAGCTGCCCAGTGGAGGATCTCTCTGAGTCAGGATTGACTTGACAGGCCCAGCAGAGAGTTTTGAGTTTAGTTGTTAGGGAAGTTTTTGTTTGCTTTAGATAGTGGCCATATGGATGGTATGATAAAGCCAGTCATGGGTCAGGAGAATAAGTTCCTGCCTAACATCGTAACAGATTATGGATGAAGTAAATTGTAACGAGGTTCCTTCGAGCCAACTGTAACTCAGAGTGACCCTGTGAATAACAAACAGCTTGGAGTCTTGCCCTCTCTTACACTATCCTCACCATCTCTGGATGCCTGTTGTTAAAGTCACTGTGTCAGTCCATCTTGTTGAGGGTCTTGCTCTCTCTTGCTGACCTTCCGTCTTTGTAAACATGGTGTCTTTTTCCAAAGACTGACCTCTCCTGACAACATAGCCGAAAGGATGTAAGACTAAGTTTTACCTCCTCATTAAGGACACCCTGGCTGCACTTTCCCCAAGACATAGCTGTTCTTTTGGCAGTTCAGGAGATATTCCATGCTCTTCTTCAACACCACAACTCACATATATCAATTCTTCTGTCATTCTTACTCACTGTTCCAACTCGCAGATGAATAGGAAGTAATTGAAAAGACCGTGGCTTGGATCAGGCTCTGTGCTGCCAGTCCAAAGGCAGGTATTACCAGCTGTTCACAGGAGAAAGATGGGCAGTATTCTGTGGATTTATAGCTCCTACAAACTCACTGGAGGGTCCACTGAATCGGTTCTGACTAGACAACTATGAGAAGTAAATAGGCTGATGTTAGATTTTTATCTGTGCTGTGACTTCCCACTGTGGCTTGTTACCTACTCGAGTGGTTTTTTTTGTGAACATTTAACCAGAAACAGTGTCATGGGACATCTCACTGGATAAAATATTCTTGCTGAACATGGAGAATACCTAGATCGTTCTCAGATGTTCAGATCCAAACTCTATCCTAGATAAGTACTGAACATAAGCTGCTAGCATTTTTCAGTTGAACCCTTCATTTAGATGCTCCATTGCTGTCAAGGTCCCCATCTCATATTTGGATCTTCATTCCATGTGTCATTAGTAGCAATTCATTGTTTGCTATGGATCAAGGAGGTAGTCTTTCTTCCCATTATGTGTTTTGTTTGCTTTATATCCGAAAGCTTCAAAACACATTGTGGAGGTCGAATGAAATTAGACTCTGTGTGTAGCTTATTTCATCTATAAAAGCAAGTTGCTCTACTTACCTGACAGAGGCAATACCATGATCACAATTGTCAGGACACCCAGGGTGAAGCACATCCATTGCAATCCAGCTGTGCTAACCCCTGTGATTTCCCCAAGTGCCTAAAACTCAACTGCATAATTTGTGGGTGTGCAGGACTACATGCACATAATCCCCTGTAAAAAAAAAAAGCTCAAGTGACCGTCATCCTGCTCCCACTAGGAATTTATATGCTGAAGTTATTTTTGAAAAATTACTGTATTTTAAAAGCCTTTGATTGTGCTAGAAATTTATGCATTTAATGTTTAATTTATAAGTGGACGGTCGGCTACAACTTAAAATTTTCATGCATTAGCCAGTTTACAGTAATGTGAGATTTAAGTGGTTTGTTTTTTGTTTTGTTTAGGGTTTAAGTGTCTTAAAATTGTGTTTTATTTCTGTTAATCTTATATTTTAAGTGAAAAGTAAAGAATTTTAAAGAGATTGTCTTAAAATTAATTTTTCCATGTTAGTGCACTTTTTTATTCTTATTTTAATGTCTTTGGAAGTAAGATATATTTTTTTAATTTTCATGTTTGCATAATCTGCCTAATTCAGTTTATTGAGATAAATGTATGTAACGATATTTAATGCATTTAAATAGTTCCTAAAAGGCTGCCGTTGATAATTTGATAGACCATCTTTTAACCAGTGAGACATTATACTGGAAAAAGTACATTGAGTTTTAAATTAAGGTAACTTGGTTGTGGCTAAAGAAAAGTAAGTATGTAAATCTCCCTCATTAAATATTTGTTATGAACTTCTATTCTTTCTCTTTTAGAAAGTTTCCCCATCTCTACTCTGTGAAGTAAATACTAAAGCCCGACTAACCTGCTTGGGAGTGTGGTTGGACAGAGTGACAGACACGAAGGAAAGCCTCCCTGGAGCTACAGAGCCTTCTGTTGGTAAATGAAGCTGATCTGTTTTTTCACATTTCAGTAATCTGTTGGTAATTGAAGTGAAAACCCAAATAACTTCTTGTCATTGACAACCTTTGTTCATTCTACTAAAAGGAGCAAGACATTCTTTAAATACAGTATCTCTTTTGTTTTAGTAAGTAAAGAGGAACAGCCTCCAGTCAACCAGAAGGGACTTGGTAATGAAGTGCAAGAAGAAGGAGGGCAGCCTAGACCTAACGCAAAGAAATCTTGTTTAGCTGGAAAGAAAGGAAATAGCCTAGTGTCACCCAAGAAGAGGACAATGGCTAAAGCATTGGAAAACAAGAGAAAAAAGAAGAAAATATAATGTACCAAATCTCCGTTTTCTTCTAAGAGAAAGCTTTTTTTTTTTTAGTAAGAGCAAGAGGGCATTTCTTCTTTTGGAGAAAGTTACAGTTTGAAAAAATACCATTAGATGGTTTCTTAAACAATGATAAAATTATTTTTGACAGACAATATTATGATCAGACATCATATGTAAACTATTGTATGATATGTAATTTTTACTGTTATGCAAATAAATTTTTTGTTTTTCTCAAAATAGAGGAGAATTCTTCAATTTTCCCTCCACTCCACCCCTCAAATATAGAGAGAATGGAAAACTGCATAGCTTTGTCTTCTTTAGTCTTTCTAGTGAATTTGTTATTGAAATTTTAATGCAAATTTTGGTACTGAAAGGGATAAAGATTTTTTTATACCAGAAAGTATATTGTTGTTTTGTACCAAAGAGATGAAACAACTCATAGATGGCCTTCCATCAGGTTTTTAGAGGCTGTAAATTACACAGGAGGAGATTGCCCATCTTCTGCAGAGCAGCTGGTGGATTCAAGCCACCTGCCTTTCAGCTGGTAGTGCAACTTCTATTCACTAGGCCAACAAAATTTGCTATACAGTATATTGAAACATTTAATAATTCTGGGTATACAAAGTAAATACACATATGTAGCATATTCTCCTTTTAGAGCTCAGCCTCCCAGATAATCTGTTCTGCATATAGATTAAAAAGGTACAGAGATAGGACACATCCTGGCATACACCCTTCCCAATTTTGAACCATGCAGTGTTCCCTTACTCTGTTCTAATGACTGCCTCCTAGTCCAAGTGTAGGTTTCACATAAGCATGATCAAGTGTTCTGGGATTCCCGTTCTTCTCAGAGTTAGCCACAGTTTGTTATGGTCCACACAGTCAAATGCCTTTGCATAGTCAATGAAACACAGACATTCCTCTGGCACTCCCTTCTTTCAGCCAAGATCCATCTAACATTAGCTACAGTATCCCTAGTACCACAACCTCTTCTAAGCCCAGCTTGCACTTCTGGCAATTCTGTATTAACATGCTGTTTCAGTCATTTTGGATAATCTTCAGAATCCTGCTTGCATGTGATATTAATGTTCCTGTTCAATAATTTCCGCACTCTGTCGGATCAACTTTCTTTGGAATGGGAACAAATACAGATCTCTTCCAGTCGTTTGGCCAGCTGGTTGTCCTCCAGATTTCTTGGCACAACTTGGTGATCACATCTAGGACAGCATCTGTTTGTTGAAATAGATCAGGATTAGAGGAAGATTCATTAACGGTCTGTATTATGCAGATTATAGAACCCTGCTTGCTGAAACTTAGGATGTGAAGCACTTGCTGTAGAAAGTCAAGGACTGCAGTCTTCGATACAGATTGAAGCTCAACATCAAGAAAACAAAGATTCACCACTGGGCTGATTAGCAGCATTGTGATCAATGGTGAAGAGATTGAGGTTGTAAACAGTTTTAGTTTGCTTGGCTCCACAATCAAGACTCTGGGTACCAGTAGCCATGAAATTAAAAGATGTATTCCATTGGGAAAATTTGTTGTCAGAGACCTCCAAAGTACTGAATAGCAGTGATGTCAGTCTGGAAACTAAAATATACCTGATACAGGCCATGGTCTTTGCAATCACTTGCTATGCATCAGAGAGCTGGACAATGTAAGCAGATAAAACTTAACACTCAGGTTTAGTGCTAAGCACATATAAAAGTTATCAAGACATTGACAGACCATTCTTACTAAGCAGTGGATAAGATAATGAGGAAAAGAGATTTCCAATTTTGTTCTCTTATCTTTGACAAAAGGGGTGAAAGATTTAAATAGATATCTCACCGAAAATGGTAATGACACACAAAGAAGTGTTAATTGCCACTGTTGAGTGCTATTGAGCCAATTCCAATTCAGCAACACTGTAGGATAGTGTAGTTATATATTATCAAGTTGCCTGTGACTCAAAATAATCATGTACAATAGCTCTGAAGCCTGCATCTGAGGCAGTCTCACCAACTCCAACACACCTACACCCATTGTCCCAGTTACTGAATCAATCCATCATCTGGGATCTTCCTCTCCTGTCCCTCCACCCTTCCAAGCATGGTGTCTTCCTCCAAGGACCTGGCCATGTGGCCAAAGAACATGAGACAGCTTTAAAATCCTTGTCTCCAAGGAGAAACTCAGTTTCACTCCACAACAGATATTTAAGATTTCTTGAGCACCACAACTCAAAGGTATTGATGATTCTTCTGTCATCTTTATAATCATGCAGCTCTCTGATGCCATGGTCTTTGCAATTAACAGGCTATGCATCAGAAAGCTGAGCAATGACTAGGGATGATAGAAGGAAAATTTATACCTTTGAAGTCTTGAATACATAATGGACTTCTAAGAGAACAAACAAGTTGATCCTGGAGAGGGTGAAAACAAGCTGCTCCTTGGAGGCAAGGATTCTGAAGCTTCATCTGACATACTTTGGACATGTGAGGAAGGACCAGTCCTTGGAGAGGGGCATCATGCTTGGGAGGATGGAGGGACAGCACAAGAGAGGAAGACCCTCGATGAGATGGATTGATTAGTGGCTGGGGTAATGGGGATAGGTGTGGCGGGGACAGTTTTGGCACAGGATAGAGCAGGGTTCAGAGCTGTTGTACATAGGGTCGCTATGAGTCACAGGCAACTTGACAGCATATTCCTTTTCTCTTTTTTAAATTGAGTTTGCTTTTTTGTTGTTGAATTGTACAAATTCTATATTCTAGCTATTTTTTGCAGTTGTATGGTTTGCAGATATTTTCTTCCATTTGTGTTGTCTTTCCACCGTAAAGGGTGTTGAACAGTGGAGTGACTCAATCATACTGACAGGAATCTTGGTTCCATTACAGAAGTTAGGGCAGTTCTGATACTAACTGTGCCCTTTTACCAGTTGAAAATTACTTGTGTATTCCTTCTATCTTCTTTTGATGCTTCCTGAATTTTTCAAGATTTTGCCCAAAGAACTCTTTAATATTACATACAACTTCAGGCTTAAATTATTCAGTTCTTCCAGCTTGAAAAATGTTTTTCCCTTTTGGTTTTCTAACTCTAGCTTTTTGCGCATTTTGTTGTAATACTTTGCTTTGTCATCTTGTGCTGTCCTTCGTAATCTTTTATTCATCTCTTTTAATTGAGGATTTCTTTGTTCTCTCTGCATGCAGTTTCCAGAGCTTCTGGAATCCATTTTGGTCTTTTCTTTCTTCTGTCTTTGTAATGACTCTCTTTCAGTAGCTCATCTTTGATCTTCGATATTCAGTGTATCAAATCTAATCTTGAGATACTTTTTAAATTCTGGTGGAATAAAGTTAAGATTGTGTTTGGGCTAAATATAACATGTTGAGAAGAACTCATTTTTAAGTATTTGTTCTATTGTGATTTGAATGAAAGTTTACAATGAAGTTGGGTTTTTGTCCACCCATTTGAACAGATTTCATCCCACCTTTCCTGCCACTTCATTCCACAATGCATGCCCTGTTCCAGATTGTTAGTTGCATTACTCATAATGTCTGATTGTCCATTCATTTTCAGATTGGCCTTCCTTTTACCTACTCTGGTGCAGTGTTCCTTATCTATCTATTATCTTCCTGCTTTCTCTTCCAGCCCCTGTCCTATAACTCTCCTTGTTTTTACAACAGTGATAGTATGTGTCCTTTTGTGACTGAATTATTTTACTTCACATAATATCCTCTAGACTCATCCATGCCATATAATGTTTCATGAGATCATTGTTTTTTAGTACGGTGTAACACTCCATTGTGTGAATGCATCATAATGTCCCTGTCCATTTGTTTGTTAATGGACATTGGGCCTCCTTTCATCTCTTTGTTATTGTAAATAATGCCTCAAAACTTGGACACACACACAAAGGTTGTATTTTGGTTCTCCTGGACTTGTTTTCAGTTTGAGCTTGCACACAGTCGTTTATCTAGAGCTAGCCCTCTCAAAGTGTTTCTCTCAGAGCCTGTGGACTGTGCCGCTCTCCTATAATCAGTCCCCAGATTTACAGGGGCATCTCCTCTGACTAGGGCATACCCATTACCTGGACAGGCCAAGACATCATCTCTAGCCCAGCCCACTAGCCTAGGCTCCTCTTTGGCCGTGCCCCAGGCTGAGTGCCCCAACTCTTAACATACCCTCACCTGGCTCACATCTTCAGCTTTCAGTCACCCTACAGACAAGCAGAAACTGACCAGACTAGGCACCTCCCCTCTAGTCTTCTGCTGGACTGGCAGATAAAACTGTCTGTGGTCAGGCAATGTATTTTCTATTTCTCATAGTATGTATGTTTGCTTTATGATATTTTTGCTTGTTTTATGGTTTGCTCTTATGGATATAGCACATATCTGTTAGATTACTGTATTGAAGATGGAGTGATTTGAGTGCTGTTGCTTGTTTTATAGTTTGCGTATGCTTGTTTTAGTTTGCTCTTAAGGGTACAGTACTTGTCTAGCAGAGAATTGCATGCTGTTGTGATGTTGGAAGCTATGCCACCAGTATTTGAAATACCAGCAGGGTCAGCCATGGTAGATAGGCTTCAGTGAGGCTTCCAATCTAAGGCAGACCAAGAAACAGGATTGACCATCCACTTCTGAAATAACAAGCCTTCAAAAACCTAATGAATAACAGAGGAATATTATGAAGTGTAGTACTGGACATAAAGACATAAGCCTCTCAGATTGGAAGGCACTAAACATGAGATAAAGCAGCTACAAACATACATTAGTAAGAAGAACACAGAATATATGAAATGTGAATTTATGAAAATTGGAAAAATTGAAATGGAACACTAAAGATCAACCTTAGGCATTAATTAGGAAGCTGAGATACATTGATATTGACCACTTTGAATTAGGCAATCATCTGTTCTGGAAAGAGAAATTGAAGAACAATGGTGTGACATTCATAGTAAAATGGAATATTTCAAGATCTATTCTGAAGTACAATGCTGTGAATGACAGTATGCCATCATGCACGTCACGTACAAGGAACACCTGTTAATACAAATATTCAAATATAGGCACCAACTACTAGAGTTGAAGAAGCTGAAGACTTTTACCAACTTTTGCATTCTGAAATTATTGAACATAAAATCAAGATTCATTAATAAGTGGTGACTTAAAAGCAAAAGTTGGAAACAGACTTGGTAACAAATAAGGCTGGACAGCAAGAGGTAGAATTTTTGTACAATAAATTATTTCTTTAGAGCAAATGCCTTATTTAAAAAAAAAGCAAGCAATACACATGGATTTCACCTGAAGGGAATTAGATTGACTGCTTTTGTGGAAAATGTCCAAGTTCATCAACAATCAAATCCAAGCTAGGGCAAACTGTAGGACAGATCATCAGTTATTCATGTGCAAGTTCAAATTGAAGATACTTAAGAAGTATGTGAAGTGAAAGTTATAGTAGCAATGTGAAAGATATTGTTAGGTAATGTGTCAACTACAACTCATAGCAACCCTATGAACAACAGGTCTGAACCTTGCCCTATCCTTTGCCATTCTCATCATCTCAGATGTGCTCTGTGCTCGAGTCCATTGTTACAGTTTCTATGTTAGTCTTTCTTGTTAAAGGTTTTCCACTCTTTCTGTGATCCTCCACCTTTCCAGCATGATACCTCCTTCCAAGGACTGGCTCCTTCTGACAACATGCCCAAAGTATGTGAGACAAAGTTCACCATTCGTGTCTCTACGGTGCACGCCCTGGTTGCATTTCCTCCAAGACGTATTTGTTCTTTTTGGAGTCCATGCGATACTTAGTGTTGTTCTTCAACACTATAATTCAAAGGCATCAGTTCTTTAAAATAGATACAAAGCAACTGAAAAGATAATGGCTTGGATCAGGCATACCTTAGTCTTTAAACTGGCATCCTTGTTCTTTAGAACTTTAGAGAGGTCCCTGACAGCAGATTTTCCCAATACAACTTGTCTCTTGATTTCTTGACAGCTCTTATTACCATGGGTTCTAATTGTGGATCCAAGTAAAATGAATCAGTCATTTCTCCCTTATCATGATGTTGTTGCCTATTAGTGCAGTGATAAGCATTCTTTTTTTTGGGGGGGGGGTGTATGTGTGTAGATATGATCCATATTGAAGACTGTAGTCTTTGACATTCCGTAGCAAGTGTTTTCACAAAAGAGTTGAGGTTATCCAACCCCAACCAGGTGCTGTTACTAGAGTTAATTCCACTTTGATTACTCCATGTGTGCAAAGTGCCAGCTGCTTCACAAGGTTTTCAAGGCTGACTTTTTTTATAATAAATTGCAACACTTTATTTTAAGGCATCTAACATTCTGGCTAACAGTCCAATGTTTAACCATCTGGGGAACACACCTAAGTTAAATATTTATTTCAGGAAGCAGTTCTATCAGAAACAAGGACTAGAAGCAATTGAAGTTCACTTAGGAACCCTAGCGGGACTGTGGTTCTATCACTGGATTTCTAATCAGTCGCGGTTCAAAGGCTCACCAGTGGCTCCAGAGGAGACATGCCAGTCTATTCATGGAAAGATTTAAACTCTGTCCTACAGCAGCATCCTGTGAATTGGAATTTACCTGGCAGCAGTGTGTTTTGAAAGTTCAATTTCGTTAAGTATAAAATGCCAAGGAGGTGATGTCATGATCATGTTAAATTTGCAATCCGCATATAGATGAATTGTTGAATTATTTTCAGTTTATGACAAGCTCACGGTTAAGAGTTTTTCTTTAAAGTTGGTAGTCCTTTATGGAATATATGAAACGCAAAAGAACAAATCTATCTGGGGAAAGTGTAATCAGGGTGCTTTTTATAGGCACGGATGGTGAAATGTCATTTTATTTACTTTGGGAATAAAAGGGGCCAGTGCTTGGGAAAAGATAGACTGGGAAAGACAAAGAATGAGCGAAAGAGGAAGATTTTTACTCAGTTGACATCGTGTCTGTAACAATGGCTCATTTGTGAGGATGGTGCAGGATAGGGCAAGGTTATAATCTATCATAGTCGACTAGATGCACCTAACACCAGGGGCTACTCTGGTTATCAATATTGTTGTGTGCCCTTGAATCGAAACTGACTCATGGCTGGTCCTCCAGCAGGTTTTCAGAGGCATAAATCGCAGGAGAGGAGAATGCCTATCCTCCCAAGGAGCAGCGGTGTTCTGGAGCTGCGTGTCTTTAAGATGGTCTGCAATTTCCGTACCCCTAGGCCACCAGAGCTCCCTGGTTAAAAACTTTTTTTTTTCTAATAGACTTTAGCTTTGGTATCCTGAAGGCATCCTGTGTAATTTGACTCAAACCCTAGTTTTCTGACTTTCGGCTACGCCATTTTCGAGCTAGAATGGACGATGGCCCTACGCCCCTTGGACGCTAGGTAAAGACCGGACTCCTCCCTTTCGCGCGGCCTCAGGACGCACGCCCCGCCCTCCGCGTGCTCACAGCGCACGCCCCGCCCTCCGCGTGCTCACAGCGCACGCCCCGCCCCCTGCGCGCTCACAGCGCACGCCCCGCCTCGGGTTGGTCACGGCTTTCCTCGTGACCCCGCCCACTCCCTCCCGGGTCGCTCGACGCTCGAGGTGACGTTTCCGGGGAGGCGAGAAGTCCCGCCCCAGGCCTCTGTGCTTGTCCACTGGAGCTGACCTCTGCAGAGCGGTGCGGGTACTCGGAAATTATTGTCCTTACTTTATTGCTATTTTAACAGACTTTGGGGATTTCTTTAAGGGGCCTTGTTGCTGCCTATGTTATGCCCTTTAATCTTTGAGAAGTTGAGGCGGCATCGGAGGGTGCTTTATTCTTTCTACTCTAAAGTGAATGCTGCCGGAGCTCCCGAGGCAAATGCTTACAGATAGCTTAGCAATGATTCATTTCCTGGAGAATTTACTGCTCGGTGTCACTTCGAACTGAACTACCGTCTATTTCACTTTCTCTCTTGGCACGATCTTCCTGTCTTCAAAACATTAAATTATTGAAAGAAAACAATAGAAATAACCATCGTGTTTTCCTTTCCGTCTTTTTAGGTTCCCTGCAAACAAAACTCATTTTTGTTTTCAAGAAAATAAGAGTTACATTGCCAGGATTGTAATGTCTCATGTAATGGCTTAGGTTTGCGTCTTTTTACCACTCTCTTACCCCAAATATCTAGCTGTTCCTTACTGGATATGAAGCGAAATAACCACGTGAAAAGCATATTGAGTATTAATTGAACTTGATTGCTGGGGCAAAAGTGAAACTGGTTGGCCTTCTGCTCTCCTCTTCCTCTGCCAAAAGAACAATTAAACTGTTTGAACTGAGGATGCAGAAGCTACTTACTTTCCTCATTTAGTGATAATATGAGTTAATTGATAGAAGAGTTAAGTCGCAAAGGTAAGAGGTGGTTGATGATTGCTTGTCTGTTTCCAATGAGTTTACAATACTAGAATTTGTTACAAACATGACTATGTACAGTTTGCTATGTTGCTGAGGATTGTAGTTGACTGGACAGCATCTGACTACAACAACAAACCACTACTTACATTCTCCTGCATTTAACATTCACTCAGGGGCAGGAATTGGTACCATTGTTATCACTGTGGAACCATGTGGCCTGGGGAAATTTCTGTCTTGGCCAAGACTATAGTTTCTAAGTGCTGGGGCAGGAACTCTAGCCCTACTCTGTCTGCTTGCCAGAAGGCTATGCCCTTAGCCACCTCTGATATGGGCCCCTTATTTACAGGTGCAGACACAGTATCCTCTCTCAGTTGACAAAGTGAAGACAGCGATGCAGAAGGAGCCTAGCACACTGTAAGTGCTTAAGAAACGGGAAAGTGGAATGCCACAGAAGCTTCTCCAAACTAGTTCTTCCATTAGTTGTGGAGGGCCATGTAGAAACCAGTTGGGATAATATGGGGTATGGAGGGAATACTGGACCTGTCCAGAGACATGTGTTGGAGTCCCAGCTCTGCCCCTGACTAATGAGGTGACCTGAAGCAAGTCCTTTTTTGTTTTCCTCATTTGTACAATAGAATGATGACCTTTTGGTCTTATCTTATGGCCATGCTGTTAGGTTTTAAAACATGGTCGGCAGTTGATTTTTTTCTCTTGCATTTTCAGAGTGCCCATCCACTGGCTTGGCTTTGGCTATGCAGCACTGGTTGCCTCTGGTGGGATCATTGGCTATGCAAAAGCAGGTAAGCTCTTAAAGTTCCTTGAACACTTAAGATATTCAAAATGTTCCTGCTGAAGAGGGAGCCCTCTAGATTCCTGGGGAAGAATCTTATTGTAGTTAAGTTTGCTCTGGAGTTTGACAGTAGTATGAGAAGCATCTGATGTTCAGTTCTGAAGTTCCTTCTGTACTTGTCTTTTGGTTGTCTAATTCTGTGAGTGGAGTCAGGCATGTTTCCTATAGAATAGGTTTTGCCTCTTTATCTGGAGCTGCAGGCAGGGTGGTGGTACATTGTGATTATCATTGAGTGTGATATACCCACACCTTGGCCCCAAAGTACTATCTGCCTTCTCCCAGTGGGAGGAAGCCTCAACCCTTTACTCCTTTTATTATTAAAATAGGTGTAGATGTAATGGCTTACTGGGTAAGGATTTGCTCTGCCAACTCAGAAGCAGGCAGTTTGAATCCACCAGCTGCTGCTCGGGAGAAAGAAGGGCAGTCTCCTCGGCAGTTTACAGCCCGTGAAAGCCCCCTGGAGGGGCAGCTGTCAGTCAGTTTGGACTTGCTGACAATGAGCTGAGTTTCATATGGCAGCAAACATACCTACTTTCCCCACAATACTCACACTAGAATGCTTACTTTCCAGATCTGTGTTCAACAGATTCATCTTCTCTGCTGCTCTTTTTTTTAACTTTCTTTCAGCTCTGCCCATCTGCAATTACAGTTCCTGATGGGCTAATTTGAACAGGTGAGGAGCTCTTTTCTCCTCAGATGGAAATGTCCTCATTGTGAGAGAGAGGTGCAGGTGCATTCCTCTGATGTCTCTGATGAAATAGCACGTGCTTCAAAATATTTACCTGTGTAGACTCCTTGGTTGTGAACTGTGCTAACTGAAGTTCTGTTTGCTATGTGGACTTTTTTGTTTGTTTTTCCTGGAGATAAATTTGGTGGATTCTGTTCTGTTAATGAATTAAGGGTCTGTCTGACATTACAGTGCAGACATGTGTTTGCTTCCTTCCAGGTAGCGTCCCATCGCTGGCTGCCGGGCTCTTCTTCGGGGGATTAGCAGGCCTGGGTGCTTACCAGCTTTCTCAGGATCCCAGGAACATTTGGGTTTTCCTAGGTATGTTTGCCCCGGTGTCTCCCCAGCGGAATTTCGTGTCCCAAACATCTGCTATTACTTAAAAGGCTGTAATTTGCTGAGATATGGCAGGCTTTTTATTCACACATAACACAGTTTTACTTCCTCTGCAAAGGTCTAGGAAAATTTTAAGATGGAAAAACTTTCCATACTTTCTCAATTCAGACTTGCACAGAGAAGTTACTATTTACACTTGTACGATGTATCCGTTTTCTGCTGACCGTTTGTGGTTGCCTGCCAGAGACTGGCTCCTTGAGCATTATGACAGTGTAACATGTCTGTGTTAGATTTACATCAGCTTCTTTCTAGTGGAAAAATCAGTTAAGGAGCATTCAGCATAATTGAGGAAGTAAGACTTGAGCATGCACAGTGACCTATAGTGTATGGGAATATGCCCAGCACAAGGAGTGCAGGAGAGTGAAGAGTGTAGCTTATCAGGCTGGCCTATGGCCCATTTTTATTGAGCTCCACCCATTGCCAGCTGCTCTGGTAAGAAACTGCCCTGCAATCCCAAAGGCAAATGGTTTGAGTCCACCAGCTGCTTTGATGGAGGAGGATAGGTAGCCTCCTCCTCCTGTGTGATTAGTTGCCTCTGAAAAGCTGCTGGAGGGTCGGCTATACGTTGGTTCCAACTTGATGGCACAGAGGAACAACAACTCCTTGTCAGACAGTACTCGGAAGGTGGTGGGTTTCTCATGGGTCACACAAACCCACACGGTGGAAATAAGGCAGTGAATGCCCTTATGTATAGGGCCAAGAACAGGTGTATTGATGGAGGGCTTGTACAAGTGAGCCTTCGGCTAGGAGGAGGGGCCAGCGCTGGCTGGTTTGAGATGGGCATTGTAGGAAAGGAAGACTAGTCTCACTTCGGTGGTAATTCCTCGTATACTCCCTGGTTCCTCATAACTTCACAGAACAGCTCACAGCTCCTTCACTACAGCTCCAGAACTACCCACTTCCAGGTTTCTTCTCCCTTCTGAGCCCACAGCTCCACTCTGAGCAGTGACTTCTGCTCCTACTTAAGAAAAAAAATCATAAAAAAACAGAAGTCATCAGACAGCCCAGTCTTCATGCCACCAGCCTTCCAGTTTCTATTTTCCTCTTCTCCCATGCCAGTTCTGCCTGGACTGTGGCCTCATTCTCCAATGCCCAGGAGTTTGCATTAGTAGTTACAGCTCATTCTTTATACACACTCTTGGATGGAGTTCTCCTGTTGTTATTCAAATGTGCACATATAACATCCATTTTAAAAAGAATAAAGGGCAAACTCATTTGATCCCACTTCCTTCTCCAGTTATTCTCCAGTTACTGCCATTTCTTCCCCTTTTTACAAACATCTCTTTAAAAAGGTGCATATATTTCTCGTCTTCCATTTTCTTTTTTTCCTTCCATTTTCTTACCTTCCACTCATTTGTGACCCATTCAGCCTCTTATTTCTGTCCCCTTTGGGTCATGGGTTTAGCTGCTGATAGATAACTATTCCTCCAAATCCAGTAGATGCTATTGAGTCCTCATCACACTCAGCCTTTCTGTTGTGCTCAACAACATTGACCCGTCATTTCCAGTTCTCCTTTCATTTTCCCCATTATCTTTTTGTAGACACATCCTTTTTCTCTAGCTATTAAATAATGACATTTATAAAATCAGACCCTTTTATCTTCTGTATACTTTTTATTTTGACATGTATCTGAACTCTGAACTCTATGACTTTCATTAGCACCAATATACAAATCACTCACGAATTCCTATTTCCACCAAACTTTTTCTCTCAAACATACTGAGGCCTAAAGGCACCATAACATCAACACCCTGTAGTGACCTCATGCTCTTGTAGTCAGGTGCCATTGAGTATGACTCATTGTGACCCTATAAACAACAGATCTGAACCCTGTCCTATCCCGTGACATACTCACACTTAACTGACACACAGGTTTTTGCTGTAGTCATTGTGTCAGTCCACTTGGTTGAGGGTCTTTTTCCCCTACAACGTTCCCCACCTTTCTAATAATGATGTCCTTCTCGAAGGAATAACCTCTCCTAGCAGCTGCCTAAATATATGAGATGAACCCAAGTTATTGAGGAGTAATCTTGCCAGTTTGAAGACTGAGGTGCACCTGATTCAGGCCATTCTCTTTCCAATCATTTGCTGTGATCTGAGAGCTGGACAATGAATAAGGATGACAGAAGAATTGATGCCTTTTAACTGGTGTTGAAGAGTACTAGATAGCCCATGGACTGCCAAAAGAACAAACTGATAGGTCTTTGAGATGGTGCACAGACCTCATGGTCTCTATTTTCAAAATACAACACTGTTCACATGTCCTTTATGGCCCGTCATTGATTTGAGGATGATGAGCACCATCCTTAATATGGCCCTGTGTCGTCTGGTCCCTCTTCTTCTCTTTCAGTCTTGATTTCTGCTCCCAGCAGCTGCCCTTACCCCACCTGGCTACTGTGGGTGCTCTCCCCCCTGCTGTTTCCTTCCCCTCCAGCTCGCTCGCTCGCTCGCTCACTCACTCCTACTCTTGTTTAAGATCACAGCTCAGATGTTAAAAGAAAGGCCTGGTGATCTATTTCTGAAAAACTCACCTTGGTAAATTGTACACGTGAGGTCACCATAAGTTGGAATTAACTTGAGGGCAGCTTTAAAGTAGATACCATCAAGTCAGTTGCAGCTCGTAGCGACCCTATCCGGCCCCACTCTCATAGTCTGTCAAGCTCATTAACTGTGTCATTCTGTCCTATTGAGGATCCTCCTTTTGTGTTTGTTTTTTCTCTTTTCTTAACCTTCTTTCCTAGCATATCTTTTTCCAAAGATTGGCCCCTCCAAACAGCATGCCAAACATGTCTTAGAGAAAGTACAAATTGTGTATTCCTGGGAGGCATAGGTGCTGGAACTTCGTCTTTCTTACTTTGGAATGTAGCTAGGCAAGGCTATTCTTTGGAAAGGGACATCCTGCTTGGAAAGATGGAAGGTCAGCAAAGGAGACAATGACTGCAGCAGTGGGCTCCATTGTGTGCGATAATAAGGATAACAAAATAAGGCAGGGTTCAGGTCTGTTTTTCCTAGCGTCGCTGTGAGTCGTACTCTACTTGACAAGACTTAACATGTTCAAAGTTTGTAAGACAAAATGTCACTATCCTTGCCCCTAAGGAGCATTCTGGCTGCACTTTTCCAAATCATGTGTTTGTTCCTTTGGAAGTCCACGGGATATTCAGTACTTTTCTCAACAACATAGCTCTAAGGTGATTGATGCTTCACCAGTTTTCCATATCCAACTAAGATGCATTGGAAGCAATTGAAAATACCATGGCTTGCATCAGGGAAACCTTAGGTCTTTAAACTCATCCCTGCTGTTTAGCATTTTAAAGAAATATTATTAATTACTATCAGTTATGATCATATGTGTGATGATTTAATGCCTGTTGCATCAGCAGCTTTGAGGATTGTTTTGTTCTGCATCACCTACTGGAGTGGCTGCATAGCCAGGGGTTTCAGATACTGGATGGGAGGAGCACGTGGTAAAGGAAATAGCATCTGAAGAGCTTAGAGGAAAAACCAGCAGCTGTTTTAGAGAAAAGTAAAGGAAATACTCTGTGACTGAAATGTGAGTTTTGCAGTGGAAGGAGGTGGGAGATGAGCTTGGACAGGCAGGCTGGGCCCAGGCAGTGAGGGCTTGATATTCCAGAATTTGCCTTCAACTCTTGACCTGTGGGCAGTCTTGACACTCCCCCGCCCAGCTGGGAAGAAGGATGCATGGGACTAGCTGTGGGCCTTGAAAGATGGTGGGACTTAAGACACTTGGTTCCCTCATTTAGAAGATGCAATGATGTGCAATCATTCTCTTTGTTTTCCATCAGCTACATCTGGGACCTTGGCTGGCATCATGGGAATGAGATTCTATAACTCTGGAAAATTTATGCCTGCAGGCTTAATTGCAGGTGCCAGGTACTTAACATTCTTTTTGCTGCCCTTTACCACTATGGGATTTAGTTTAGCATACTAGATCCTTTATACATTCAAAAAGTCACCTGTCAGAGGTTCACTGATGCTGAGCATCAGCTAATATTATTTTTTTTCTCAAGAAGAAAAGGCTGCTAAAACAGAAGCAGCTGGATGTAAAACTTCTGGAGGGGTGTACTGATCCCTAATGGCAGTGGTTCTGTGCTCCTGTTGTGCTCTGGTCCTTTCTGTCTCCTCCTGACAGTGGCCGAGGGACTCATAACAAAGCCTTGACATCAACCCTTTGTGGGACTTTCAGGGTGGCCCCGTACTTCTTAGTTATATAGGTACCCTTTCCTAATTAAATTTTGTTAAAAAGGAATTTGAATCATGTCTTCTAACCAATTTTGACTATAAAATTGATTTGGACAAATTTAGCCCTTAAATTTAATAAAGACAACCTGAAGGCAAGAGAATAAAAATCTAGTTTAAGGGGAAAATACAGGCAGAACTCTAAATCATAGTTGCCATGTTATGAGAAGAATGTTTTATACAAAGAAATTTTGTAGACCAAGGCCAAGAGCTAGACTCCTGGAGATCAAGGTTCTAATCCTGCCTTGATCATTCATTAGCTAACTTGTGAAATTTTTTGCTTTCCATTTCTTCAACTCAAAGTTCCTCGACTCAGACTATGAATTACCGCTCAGGTATTCTCAGACCTCAGGGCAAACTTTGGCACCTCCAGAGATGAAAACTTCTGATTGTTCTGCCTTCATCCTCTCTTCAGGAATCTGCAGGATCTCATCCCGAGGGGAGGGAAAGTCTGAGTGCCTCTTCCACCGTTCATATGACTCTGTTTCTCTTTTTTTTTTTGACAGTTTGCTGATGGTTGCCAAACTTGGGATTAGTGTGTTAAGTACCTCCCACAAATCCTAGTCAGATACCAGCTTGAACCTCTGAAGAACAAGAAATCTCCAAATTTCAGCTGTCTTCAGTATAAGATAAAGAAGTACGGGGCTCGAGTGTTTTCATTCTTTTGACTTTTTTAGGAAAAACTCAACAATGTTATAGTCTCCAACAGTGGCAGTTACACATCATGAGAGCTTATCATTATAACCTCATGCAATTTGAGTCTTGTATATTGATGTGTCTCTTCTTTCTGTAACTAGATAAATTTTTAATGGGTAAAAATGTCAACATTTGGGGCCCTGGAACCTCTTGCCCTGCTCAGAGTGACATGAAGAACAAGATCTTAGAGCTTTCAGGTGGCCAACTTTTTCTTGTATCAGGGCACAGGCTGAATTTTGAATTGTTTCATGAAATCATAATGAAAGTAAAGTTTTACTATAAATAACATGTTTTGTGGTGTCTTCATTGCCAGAACAATCTAGAACAGCGAGTGGGATGTGATAGCAAGTAGAGGGACATGAAAGTATTTTAATAATGTACTTAGGAACTGCCCATTTTGAATAATGATTAAGGAAAGTTACTGATTATACCTAGCATTGAAGCTTGTTTTAAAAGTGAGCTGTAGTGAAGAGTTCTGAGATGCTCTGATATGTTGCACCTCCCTTGCCCCCTAAATTTCTTATCAGTTCATCCATAAATGTGAAATAGACCCACTGATAGCTTGAGTCAGCCAGTTTGGGCTCTGCAGTGGATTTAACTTGATCAAGGAATGTGGTCACTTTACTGTTTGTTTGCAGCAGCAGTGGAAGTTTACTCTTATAGTATAAATCAGATACGCTATTCACTTAGGCTCCTTAAATGATCAGTTTTTTTCATCCTTTTTATATAGCTTGGTTTTGAGTACCTTCACCATGCCTATGGCTTGGTATGATACAGCCTGACAGGGCTTGTTTTAAAGCGTTGAACCCAGGACACTCTCCTAGAGTCTGACTAGGGTAGTATGCCTGGAGTACATTTCTGTTAACCAGAGTAAAAGTAATAAGCTTCTTGGACAGTCCAGTCCTAACAATGACTCACTTTTGGTTTGAGACCCAGAAGCATGTAAGTGGCACAACTTCGACTTAGTGGTTATTAGATGTGGACAACCAAATTACAGTTGAACATAAATGCACTAACCATGTTCTAGTAATTTCTTAGTGCTACTCAAGGTAAAACAAAGAATTGAATAAAAAAAACAGCATAATGTCAATTTGGATCCATGTCCTGATCACAAATTGGTCCTGTGACCAAGTCTTGGTTTTATGTTTTCATTAGGTCAAACATTTGCCATTTTCATGTATTCAAAAATGTTTGTACATTTTAGAAATAATTTGTTTTTAATTATACAATAGAAAAAATTATCTTTAATATAAAAATCATAGATAAGTACTTTTAACATAATTTACATATTTTATACTTAAAATATAATTTCTAAAAATTATTGTAATTCTTTAAAGTTTATCTTAAATTTCTTTATAAAAAGTCAAATTAAGAAAATACTGCCGGATACCAAGATGAAGCTCTGTGGAAATGTTTCCTGGCCTTCGTTCTGCCCAGGTTAGTCTACAGCAGAGCAGTAACAACTCTGCACTTCTAGCTTAGCATAAATTATTAGTGACACAAAGAGCTGTTTTTAAGATTTGTCCAAATACATCTTCAGTGTTAGACCTTTAGAGTATAAAGACTAGGGAGTTTATCTTTTACTATGACTTAAGCTCTTTTTTTATGTTGCTATGTGGATGGGTGGCATTATGCAAATAGAGTGTGTTGACCTATCCATGAAGGCAAGGGGATTGGCTAGTCACGCCAATAAACTGAAGAGTGCTAGCTGCAGAGATAGAATTCTTCCCCCACAAGAAGAGGAAAACAGACCACAACCCAGTGAAATGTATGTAGGACACAGGACACATTGAGATAGCAGCAGCTTTGGCCATGGCCAAACGAGAGACCTGACATGAGATGGTGATGGGGGCAGGGCGAGGAGAGGGGGAAGGCAATATTGGCAAAAATGAGAATTTGGAAACCCTTTCAGCCTTGAGGCTCAAGGCTGTGGTGCCTGCATACACATTCCAGGAGCTGTTGTGACTATATTAAGCTGGATTATAAATTTTTTTATTTCCCTAGTAGGGTTCTGTGTGGTCTATGAACTATCACATCTGATTTTGGACCCACCAAAGCAGTAATACTGGTGTTGAGATGAGTAGGAAGATACAGGAGCATGGGGGATGTGTTTGACCTCATGGGCAGTGGTTTTGTGTTATGATGCAGTGGATGAGGACAGTTCTCCTTTGTGAAGGTGATAAAGGGCAGATAGGGTTCTCCCCACATGGCCTTTGTTTTTTTGACAAAGTTTAAAATGTAAGGAAGACACACTAGTGAAACATTTATTTTAATATCTTTTACGTTTCTCAGCAACACAAAAGAATATTTTTAGCTTTGAAACATTCATTAAAACAGTACAAATACACATAGGCTACAGATTACATTTGTGGCACATTACCATCAGAATAAATTTCTCTTTAGATTTTAATATTATTCAGTGAGACAAGTAGAAACTTCAGTAGCAAAAATATGATGCTCTTATTTATAATGTGCCTTTGGAAAATGCTCACAAGATGATGCCAGTTCCATTAGCATTTGTTACAAAGTCATACAACACAGAAAAATATCAACAGTTGATAACATTATTCTTGGAAAAGAATTTACAGTAGTAAAGTCCAGTCCATAAAATGGCAGGTTTAAATAGAAAATAGTCTTAAAAAGATCTAAATACCAATTGAGGAAATAAAACATAAGGAGGAGAAAAAGTGCTAAGTGAAATCATCACCATTGCAACTGAACATACATGCTCTTCAGAGCCAATGTCAAGGTCAGGGCAGAGTCAATGATCTGCAGCAGCAAAAGTTTGCTTTGGGGACCACATAGCACACTTCGTGTGTGGTTGTAGCACAGAGAATCTTGAAAATCAGAAGTCCTTTTGACAGGTTCAAGAACCCTTTTTATGATGTGAAGGTGAGAGAAGTTTTTCTTGGTTAATTCTGACATCACCAGGAGTTAATAGCAGTTGGATTGGTCAAAGTCAAGCAGTAGATTCCACTAGAATCAGCTGGCCTAATTTTGGTATTCTCTTATGTTAAAGACAAACTTATTTCTAAGAAAGATATCCTACTCAAGATCGGAATTAGCATTGCTTCTGTGATTTCAAAGTAGAAACAAATTCTTTCTGCCAATTTCCAGAGTGATAGAGGGCTTAGACAGATTTCCTAACTGGCAGCCCACAGGCTATGCTGCAGCCTTGTTAGGCAAAAACAAGTAAAGCAAAAGGAATTAATAAGTAATCTAGGCAAATATACAATAAATAACAATCTACACTGTTCTGCAGGTATTTTTTCCCCCTCATAAAAGCTCATATTCACTACCAATTTGTAGATCAAATACTTGATACTTTGGCAAATAGTTTATTAAATACTTTGTAAAGCCCTACCCATATATCAGCATGTGGGCAATGATGCTAAGAAAATGCTTTTCATTGCTAGGAAAGAAAATAGGTGATTTTTGCTCTTAAAGTACCCAGTGTACCATATTCCTTGCCAAGAGCCATAGAAATAGACATCTGTGCCTTGCACACCCTACAGGGCAACGCTTCCAGTTTGGAGCCAGCGCCCCCTACCGATGGCCTCCGTATTTTGCCATCCAGTCTGTCCTTCCATGCACAGAGTGAACTGGCTGGGCACGAGCCATGAGGTTTAGATTTTTTGCTGTAGGATTGTAAGTAGGTCCTGAAAACTGTCCCCGACCAGTTTTTGTGTTCCAGGTATATTCTGAAAGACAGTAAAATTGGGAATTAGAATTTTGCTCATTTAATAACAAAATCTGATGACCTCAGTAATCCATCATTTTATGGGGGATATTTTTCATTTCTTTTTAAAAGACTAACCTTGATCTTTGAGGATTTTAAATTTACTGTGTTGTTACCAACTCGAGTTTGGGAGGTTTTTTTATTCATTTTAATGAAAGTTTACAAAGACTTTGGGTTTCCATCTATTCATTGTTGCACTTTTTTCTCCGTTTA